AAAACTTAATTTTATGGAGTTCTTTGAAGTACTGTTTACTGTTCTGTAGTTTTGTAATTTAAAAAAAAATTTTTTGAATAATTATTGGCCGGAATTTAAACCAGGATATTTTTATTCTAGTTTTTTAAAAGTGCTTTAAAAAAATAATAATTAAAAAACTTATTGTATAAGCAAGTTTTTTTTACATTATTGCACATTTGCATTTTTTAAAATGCCCAAATAAAATAAAAAGATAAAATATGCAATTAATTTGCGATTAATCTTGAGTTAACTGTTGATATTATGCGATTAATCGTGATTAAAATTTTTAATAGTTTGACACAGCACTAGTTTAAACTTTTCCCTGGTCTCTCTGTTTGGTCTTCTGCATCTTGGGGTCAGACCTTTAATATAATCGTGACAGGTTGCATTATACACACTTTGATCTAAGCTCCTTTTACTTTTGATAGCATTTAGTTTCTTCTTCATTCCAGACACATTATTACTGTCTCTAAAAGCCATTATTCCCAGATTGCCCTGAATTTATCTTCCTCAATCATCCTATTTTCTGACCAAAGTCTCTGTTCCTGCTGAAGAAATCTATTGCAAATAGCATAATGCATAATGCAGCCTCTACCATGTAAGGTCATGTGCATTATTAGTGTTTTGCACAACTTCTCGATATGATTCAGACGGTTTAACGCATGGATTGTTATTTACACTATTACTATTCTTTGCTGCTTCCCCCTGTTGGCCGTAGTTTACAGTTGTACCATACTCCTACACATTTTTTTTGTATGATAGATTGAACATACATTAGTGAGATATTCTAAACCTTGGATACTTAGACTTAGACAAACTTTATTGTCATTTTGTACACACAGAGTGTATGCAAAACAAAATTACGTTCAGTGCAGCTCTCAAGACATTTCCATTACAAAAGTGCAGCAGTGATAAAATGTAAACATGGTGATCAGATGTAAACACAAGACTTAAGTTATGATTTGCAGTTTTTCCAACATTCATTGCTTTTTTTTTTCTCCCCATTTCATTCAACATTCAGCAGTCTAATGGAAGTGAAGCTGCATGTCTTTAAAACTTTATCCCTATTCTTCTGGTATATTCCTAATTTATGACTCTGTTTGTTCATTAATGTTTTATTTCAAAACTTTGATCAAATTTGCATATTTTAACCTTTCAAAAACCATGTATACTTTTCGTTTAGGTGTTAAATTACACTGTAAACTATATCTAAGCTTAATTCTTTCTCTAAATGTGACATATATTCGATTATAAGCTACCTTAAGTGCAGAACTGGCATAACAGTTTGGTCCTGTGAATCCTGGATCACAAATGCAGCGCTGATCCAAACAGTCTCCATGTCCTCCACAGTGGCTGTTGCAAGGCGGCCCGATGTACAGGTTCTCTACCCCCCACTGAATGTCAGAGTGCTGCTGGTAAAACCGAAATCGCACTGCACTGAAGACAAGAACAAGCTTTAGTGAATCACATAGAAATGCCTTATTTATACATTAATAGCTCCAAACAAGAAGGCCTTGGGTTCAAACGATGCAGAAATAGTTGGTGTGGGACAACTCACGTTTCAGCCAGGCTGTCTGGCAGCGGATAGACTGCCCTTTTCCAGCTCTCAGCAGGGAAGAAGACTGAAGGCTGGGACACCTGACCACCACAGCGGGGGTCAGCGGGCAGGCACTGAGGGACCAGGTACTTCCATGTGACTCCAAAATCGACTGAATACTGAACGTGAACCTGTCGATCAGCCGGTCGGTCTGGAACACTGCAGCCCACAGCAATCTCAAAGGAACACATATGAAAATTAGCTTAAACTAGAATACATCAAGAAGTATGCAAAAGAAATTACATTTTCACAGTAAATAGATGTTTTATTGGCTTAATAATTACCTTGAACTGCATGACCCAGCCTTTGTCTGGAACAATATCATGTGTGACTGCATAAACTTCTCTACCATCAGCATTTCCACACACCATCACCCCATCAGGAGAGTTGCAGAAGCGCTGCACAGAGCAGTCCTCAGAGAAAAGCCAATGATCGCTCACTGAGAACACAAATAAGGCAAATATAAGAAACCCACACAATAAAACAGCTGTTTTTCCACAATCAGAGGTCCTTTTCATGGAGTACCTATTGGTGTTTCTCCCTGTTCATTCAGCTGACCAAACCTCCCTGACGTTTCATCGGCGGGAGCTCTTTCGTGGTTAGGCAGAGCCACCCCTCCGAATGTGTCAGAGATCTGGGCCCTTGGGTCTGAGCCTGCGATCAGGACGTTATCCAGGGCCCAGTCGCTTCGGTCTGCACCATCATGCTGTGGCTGCCACCAGCGCACCCGCACTCCTTCCTGACGTGCAGCAGGGGGCAGTAGCACATTTACAAAGCTAAGAAGAAAGGCACAAGGAGACAATCGGATGTTTTGCTATACCTGTTGGATCTTGTGGGGTGAATGCAGTTATGCCATTGGATGGCATGTTAGAGAATCAAGACTCACCCAGGTTTGGTGTAGAGATCATAGAAGATCTCTGTCAGTAAATGCCAGTTAATTCCCCCATTCAAGCTGTACTCTAGGAGGACACCCTGGTTGCGATTGCTGGGAGGGATCATGCAGCCATACATAAAGTAGAACTGGATGAACTCTGCATTTGTCAGGTTTAGGTCCACTGTCACCAGCTGACGGGTACAAGACTGTGCAAAGAACAAAGTGGGAGGTGAAGTGAAAAAATGCTCGATAAAGAACCGATTCCAACATTCTAGAGTATTTCTAAACCCACAAAAAGTTATGCTCTTTAAGACATAGTTTAAATGATCCAAGGAGCTGTAATCGATTTTCGTTTAGCACATAACATAAAATGCAGCTCATTCTTTATCTGGCATTAGTGTTGCAGTCCTTCAACTGTCTATAACATTCACATTTTGTTTGTTTATAATAATTAAGTGGTAAATTTGGGATTTTGCATGATAGACAAAAATAAGTGTTCAAACTGATTCATTTTTGTCCCGATCTGGAAGGCTTTTAATGTCCTGCAGCGCTGCACCACTACAGCACTTTTAATTGTATCTTGTATGTTTTATATGTGTTATGTATTGTTTTTATGGCTTTGTTGTAAAGCACTTTGGGTAACATTTGGCTATTGTAAAGGGCTATACAAATAAATTTGATTTGATTTGATTTGATGACACCACTTTTCCACATGAATATCCTCTGATCTAAAGCCTCTAATTGTTCAGTGGCTCATGCTATTTAATGTTGCTACCATTCTGGAGCGTCATCGCCACCCCGAGTCTCAAATATTTAACTACATCTAAAATGTTTTCTTACGACATTGGCCTGAGCTCTGATCAGCTTCCCTATAAAAAGAGAGGAATCCACATTGCATAATGCAGCCATCACTTTGTTTTCCATTAACAATGATAGATACAGAGTCTACTTCTAACATTTGATAATTTGCATCTAAGCCAAATTGTTCTCTGTTGGTCTCATTGGAGGCTTCTTGAAAATCTTTGCACTCTTGTCTTATTTATTTTTAAAGAATCAGTCAAATGTTATCACTACACACTGCTGTGTGTAAATAATATCCCATTGCAATACATTAATGTCATTGATTGTAAAATACCAAGAAAAAATCAAGCATTTTAAACATATTTGCAATAAAACCAACATCAGACAGCAACCCAAGTCTAAACTACATTTATGCTGAACCACATTGTAAAATCTACAATGAATTTTACTTGAGCTCAAATTTAAATCTTTTTGCATGGTTGACTGTTTAACCTTCTTTCATTTTTTGATTCCTATAAAAAACACATTTGTAGGTTTGAATGCAGGAATTTTCATTTTTTTAGAGAAAATGTTGCCTTCTATTCGAACCACAGCACTAAAGTGTAACCTAACAAAAATGGATAAATGAAGGTATTTCATATAGTCTATTCTGTACTAAAGTGTTACTATCATGCTTTTTGTATATTTGCTTCTTTTTCTATGTCTGCTTCTATCTGTTGAACCCCAGTTGGCCTCAGCAGATGGCCGCTCACACCGAGCCTGGTTCTGCTGGAGGTTTCTTCCTGTTCAAAGGGAGTATTTCCTCTCCACTGTCGCTACAAGCGTGCTTAGTGTGAGGGATTGTATTTGAGACAATGAGTCGATGCAATCAACTGGTTTTCCTTATTACAAAACTTTGAACCAATTTGACTGTATGATCTGGTGAACTGTAAAGTGCCTTGAGATGAAATGTGTTGTGAATTGGCGCTATAGAAATAAACTGAATTGAATTCAGTGTACACATTCTGCAATTTAACAAACCAACAAATGTTACATAATACAAATATCAGAATCTATTTCAGACTGGATCTAAAGCCAAATGCAGACCTACCCCACTGAAGTGCAGGGCAGCTCCAGAAGCCACAGCTCCACACACAGAGCTGAGCTTCCCACCGGTGAGGACGTGCCAGTGACTGAGTGAGGGAGCTCGACTGAAGCTGTCCTTCAGCTGAGACGGCAGAGGAAGCACCGGCTCGTCACAGTACTCTCCTCCCCACTCTGGGTCACATCTGGCAAGGATGGGGAATTTAGAAAGAAACGGACACATTTCAACAAGAACTAAACAATGAAAATATTGATTGGCAAACATTTGGCAACTTTGCAGGCTGGAGAGAAAAATAGAAAGGCAAGTAAAAAAAGCACAGAATTTTTTTTATTCTGTTTATTAAGGGCAATTTTACATTCAGTTTTAAAACAATCGTTTTTAACACCTTAATGTAGTCTTAAACTATTTAGGACTTATTTTTTATGCCTTGCAAACCACTGAACTGAAAGATTGTGTATTTTTTTAATCATATACCTTAGTATTAACTACTGTTGCACCAATACCAGTATCGGGCAGGGCCCCGATCCAGCACTAAAATGGTGGTATTGGTATCGGCGAGTACGAACAAATAGGGCACCGATACCATTTTGAGAGGCAAATATTTATTCAACTGCTGTCACCCATTCCAGGTAGTCAATAAAAACTTCTACTGGATTCACTTTGTTTTAGTCTTTTTCCTGCTTCACAAAGGTAGGCAGCAGCTTGACAAAGTCATGATGGCAATTATTTTACGTCCAAGTAGTATGCAGTTCTTCATATATACACACACATCCATTTCAAACAGATGGTATTGGTATCGGCCAATACTGCACAGCCAGGTATCGGGGCCAAAAATACACTAGTATTAACACTCCAAATATTTCCAAACTCTATTTTTTATAGTTATGCATATGTCTTATGTATTTATGTCACTTACACACAGGAGCTCTGTTGGCAGCGTCCGTGTCCAGAACACATGTCAGGACAACCGTCACCAATGTAGAGATTATCCAGAGCCCATGTCTGCTGCTTATCAAAGGGAGCCTGTTGGAACCAGCGGAACCTTGTGGCTGGAGATCTAAAAGATAAATCACAGAAAAACATTATAAATCCACCAAAAATAGGTTATATGCATGGTCTTTGTAGTTTTGGGTTTTAGTTGAAGAGTTTGTGTCCTCTTTGTATCGTGTTGTGCTCTTCGTGTATTGGGTATTTTGCTGTGGTTTTAGTACTACACATATTGATTGATTGACTTTATTGATCTCAGAGTGGAGAAATTCACTTGTTACATCGGCTCAAATAGTAAAAAAGAGAAGAAGAAGGTGCCAAAGGAAGAAAAAATGCATTGGGGTGCATACAGTATATACAGTGCATCCATACACACACACACACACACACATATATATATGACTGCTGAATTTTTTTTTCTTTTTAAAAGAAGGATTATTAAACAGGGTTATTGCACAGGGTATTTATATGGGTATTTATATAGATGGGTATTTATCTATATATCTATATATTGATACTGGGTATCAAATATAAAGAAACAGGTTATTGCACAGGGTATTAAACAGTAATTGCACATTATACATTACACAAGTTATTGCCGTTGTAGTGTCGCATTGTAGAGTCTGGTGGCAACAAGGATGAAAGACACATTGTAGTACGATAAAAATGACTATTGTTGGTGGTTTAATTAAGTACTCTCTCCTTCAAGTTGCATTATTCTGGTTCAGAAAACTGGCTATGTGTTATACATGTAGTCTTTGTAAGTTTAATGATAAAACATTTATTGCTAAAAGCTCCAAATTGCCTCTCAGTTTTTGAATGCAGCTGCTGTGTGATTCCCTGTCAGTTTTTTAGCCACTGAGTGGATCAGTAGATCACTATTTGGACCATAACATTATATTATGTTTGTATTTGTTAGGAATCCAGTGTGTGTGGGTTGTGTTTTTTTTTTGTTTTCTCTACCTACACCACCAGGTGGCGCCCTGTTCTCGTTGGTCCTCCCACACACCTGCGGCTGGTTGTGCTCATTACTCAGGACTCTTCAGTGGTGGACTGTCACTACCTCGTCGCCAGAGTGTTTGCCAGTTTTGGGTACACTAGCCAAGCTGAGTTTAGCTGAGTCAAACTGAGTCTTTGTCTCTCTGAGTTCTAACCTTGTTTTTGTCTTTGCCGTTTCGGCAGGAAGTAATCCTGCAAACTGGATTTTTGGCCTTCTCCCCATGGAAGGATTCTTTTGAGCTTCACACTGAGCAGGGGATTAATCTCCACACGACCCGTTCAAGTTCTCTTAGAAAAATAAGTGGCAGTCCACTTCATTGCTCTTTAAGGAACCAACCAAACCAAAAACCTGTCCGTCCTCCAATGAGCCCCCCAATCTCTGGATAAACCCACAACGACTGGATTCTGGGAAGACAACCTTTTTCTGCCACCGTGAGTCCCGTTCATCTCTGATTTTTGCAAGACGTTGTTCAAAGTTCCCACGGACCCTGAACTAACCTCTGAACTTCCCTTCCACTTCCAGTTCTGGTTCACCAGCTCTCTGAGTTACCCTGGATCAACCTTATTGATTATTTCAATAAACCTGTTAAACTTTTACTCTGGTTCCCTGAGTGGTTTCCTGCATGTGGGTCAGATCTCTTAAAAACATCATGACAGAATTATGTAGATATTATTGTAACTATTATTGTTCTGAGTTTCCAGTCTGTTCTGGTTTTTATTTATAGAAAGCTAAGTTTATTTAATGCTTTTTCACATATTTCTTAACTTGATAAATATAAATATATATGACTATAGTTAGGTAAAAGCTGGAAGAAAAAGTGCGAAATATCCAGCAACGAAGTCCAACCATATTCTGGGCATTATAATCAGCTCATGTTGGCAAAGCTTGCTGACCTTGCATATGATGGAATAGACAAAGTGACGCGGCCCCACTTGTTGTAGACATCTGAAACAAGAATCCGCTGCAAAGTGTAGGAGGAGCAGTCTGGACTTGTAGGCAGGCAGTCCCGGACCAAAGGGTGCCAACTCAGACCCAAATCCAGAGAATACTCCAACTCCACAGCTGCAGAGAGAAGAACAAACTCTTTAAACTTTATTCCTTCATGTATAGTTAATAATATATGATAGATTCATTTGCAAACAGACTAAAAAATATTAACAAACTTCTGTATATTTCTTAATTGTCTAACATCTTCCTTTACCATGAAAATATGCACGATTTAAGTTTTTAAGAATGAAAACATATTTGCTTGTGATTTCCTTTTGCTTACAGTAGCAAGAATTGGTGACAGAGCAGGATGCAGAGAAGTCAAACTGGATGAAAGCATCTTGGCCCAAACTAATGTCAGTAGTGACAGCATATCGTGTGTTAGACTTCTCAATGAATGCGAACGCAGGCCCGTCAGAGCCACAGACTGGCATTCGGGTTCCGCCAGGGTGGAGAAGCCATGAGCGCCCGTCGATAGAGGAGAAATCATCTTCGAGTGGTCCCCAGCCACTAGCACTACCACCCACTACCACCTAATGTAAACGGGAGAAATTACAACAGATTACAGATGGAAGAGCTATTTTTAATCTGTAGAATATCTCAATGAAGTAAAAAACGTGTGAAATATCTATCTTTATGTACCTGATCTATGACCCATGGGCTGTAAAAATGCCCATTTTCAGACGGCTGCCACCAGCGCAGACGGGTAGCTGTGGTTCTGGCACGCAGCGGGATCTCCAAGGCCACCAGTCGAGCCTGATTACTGGTATTACTGAAGAGAAACTCCTGCAGGAGCCCCCAGGTTAGACCTCCATCCACAGAGAACTGCAGCAGCACAGGCTGAGAACGAGGGTCCGGTGCCGCTTTGCCACATCCGAGACGGAGGAAGAACTGAACAAACCTGCATTGAGAAACCATAAAGCATTATTACTTAAAACTGTAGAACTAAAAGGGAAATACAAGTCTATTTATGGTGATTATTTGAAGTTAATGTACCTTGCATTTGAGAGGTCCATGTCATTTGTAACCAACATGCGTAGACCGTCCTCGCTAAAGAACAGGTGGTTTCCACTGGACATGATGCCACATTTCCTGGATGGTTTACCTCCACTCAGAAGTGTGAAATGCTCAGCATCCACCGCTCCTCCTTAACACAAAAAGATGTAGCAGTCATAAACGGATTTGTGCTGGTGAAAATTCTCAGTCATCCAGGTCATAGTCATTCCAAAAAAGTTAAAAAACAACCCACTTTGTTTCCAAGTTTGAAGACGTTTCGCTTCCCATCCAGGAAGCAATTCAAAATGTCAGGAATAGGGTTGAGTCCAAGGCTTTATACAGTAGCCCAACAAAGCCATGTTTTTGTTTTGAAAACATCCAAATTGAAACGGACGTACGGGTCCACCCCTTTGGAATGGGGGTCGTTAGCCTAATTCAAATTGCAGGCTATAAAAGTATAACCTGACTCCGCTGGAAACCTGCGGTTGAAGTAATTTTGGGAAGGGGCGAAAATACTGGTTAGCTGATTGGCCTATGTTGATGAT